CAATATATCGCAATAAGCATTGTGCTTTGGTACTTTTAATATGAAACAAAGTCTCAGATTTCAAATTTTGTCCATTGTATTGCAGTATTTAAACAATAAATGCCGTTTTGGGGCTGTTTAATGTGGACGGACAGATCGCTGTAGCGCGGCGCGCCTCAGTTCAGTAAAAGCGGCAGCGCGAGACGCACGTGAACTGATCACCTCCTCCACTTTAATACCAGTTTCAGCACAAAATAAACATGACTAAACATCCGAAGGTAAGTTAAAAGAAAGAGTAAAATTTTACAATCCGTATCCTGTCTCATGTAATCGCTCAATCAGTGTTTCAGCCGCGCAAAGACTGTGGCTTGTAAACAATGTCACGTAACATCACATTTACCTCAGAAAAACATATTCGGTGACCACAAACTCATTAGTAAGCTAGAAAAATAAACTGTAGATATAACTGCTAAATATATGCACCATATAACATATTCATAATTTTTGCTGTTCTTCAGTGTTTAGTCATTTATGTTTGAATAAATCCATCAAGTTTTTGACAGCCACCATTTAAATGTTTATATTTCAAAAAATTAACTAAAGTAGAAGTAGGCTATTATTATGTAGCTAATTATAACTTTATTAATTAAAAAAGTTAATTAAGTGTAATTTTAGCAGTTGTATATTAGCCTACGAATCAGTACATTTTAACCTTCAGTATTATAGTAATGTAGTAACAACTGACTCTCATGTATATTTTACAGCATTAGTTGAGAGATTTTTTTCCTTGAGAAAATTTGGCATGTACTGTACCTGATATGTATCCAAAATAATCGATACTGAATCGAATCGCAAGCTTGTGAATGAGAATCGAATCAAATCGTGAAATTTGTGTCAAAACCCAGCCCTAATGTAGACATATTTTGGATCCGATTTCTCAGAAATCAGAAAGCATCGCTCACCGATCCGGTAGGATGGTCTCCAGCGCAGATATGAAGTAAGGAACCACAACATTGATCCCTTTGAGATCGGAGCAGAACAGAGCCGAAGAGTTGAGGATGATGCTGGCTAAAACCGGCCTGCAAATGAAGTCCGATATCTGAAGACCCTGGATGAGGACCATGTAGAACCTAACAGAACCATCAGATACAGAACAGAGGTTCATCTGTTTGGAATAATCAATATTTTTATGTTTTGAAGTCTCTTATGCTTCCCAGGGCTGCATTTATTTAATCAAAAATACTGTAAAAATTGTGAAATATTATTACAATCTAAAAAAGCTGTTTTCTAAGTGAATATCTGTTAAACTGTAATTTATTGCTCTGTATTTTCAGCATCATTACTCCAGTCTTCACTGTCACATGATCTTCAGAAATCATTCTAATATGCTGCTTTGCTTCTCAAGAAACATTTCTGATTATTATCAATGTTGAAAACTGTTCATATTTGTGTGGAAATCGTGATGCATTTTATTTTTCGGGATTCTTTGACGAATAGAGAGCTCAAAAGAACAGCATTTTTTAAAAATAGAAATCTTTTGAAACATTATAAATGTCACTCTTGGTTAATTTAATGCGTACTTGCTGAAAAAAAAAATCTTAATTTCTTTGAATTAATTTATTTCAAATAAATGCAAGATAGTTGAGCATAAGAGACTTCAGAAACATCAAAAATCTTAAAGGGATAGTTCACCCAAAAATGAAAATTCTGTCATTAATTACTCACCCTCGTGTTGTTCCAAACCCGTAAGACCTTCGTTCATCTTCGGAACACAATTTAAGATATTTTTGATGAAATCTGAGGGCTCTCTGACCCTCCCATAGACAGCAAGGTAACTACCACGTTCAAGGTCCAGAAAAGTACCAAGATGTAGTCCGTGTGACATCAGTGGTTCAACTGTAAAGTTACGAAGCTACGAGAATACTTTTTTGCACAAAGAAAACAAAAATAACGACTTTATTCCACATTTTCGTCTCTACTGCGTCACTTGTGGACACGCGTTCACGACAGTATCATGACGCGATGAACGAAGGTCTTACGGGTTTGGAACAACACGAGGGTGAGTAATTAATGACAGAATTTTCATTTTTGGGTGAGCTAACCCTTTAATTATTACAAACTTGTGACTAGTAGAGTAATGACTGAGGAGGTGATTCGTTGGGAACAGCTAGTGATTACCTGGACAGGTACACTGCAAGTATCTCCTCTCCAGTCTTCTTACTGCAGAAGATCCTACACAGCGTCCCACACGCTTCGGCTCGACCCGACTCGTAATTATCAGGAAACTCATTGGCGTCGAACATTGGGTTGGACACCATGGTGTCCGTGGACATCTGAGAGCCTTTACGTCTCAGTTCAACTCCAGCTTGAGTCGCTAGGGCTGAGAGAGAGACAGAGAGACGGGAAGGAGAGACACAAGCGCAAACACTCAGTGACGCTTTACATGCGAAGCTTTCGAAGGAGCCCATGACAGGGATTACCGACAAAGAGATCTTCAGACAGGCAGAGCAGTAAAAAACGCCCAATCATGTGCTCTAATCTAATAAATGTGACCGCAAGGGATAGAGATATTAAGATGTTATAAACATTAACATCACGATTTTCTGTAAAACTGCTTTTTTAAAAATGTGCTACATACCGCTTGAATGGTTTAAAACGGAAGTTTCACTTTTAATATATAACAAAATATTATTATAGTTAATTAGCTTTTATAAAACACTGTAATAATAATAATTATTATTATTAATAATATTTTTCTAATATAATATAAAATAATACAGTTAATTAGCTTTAATAAAATAATGTAATAATAATGATTATTATAATTATAATTATTATTACATCAAACTACCCTTCACATAGGTCAAAACTTGTAACGCCATCAAAGGCATACCGTTGAACAGTTTTAGCTTGATCTTTAGGTCAATAGCAATAATGCATGACGTTTTATTACACAGGCTAAATATGTAGATGCATCGAGACAACTCAACTTTAAAATGCATATGACATTCAGAGAAATACAAATGTTGGACATTCTGACAATTAAATGCCAAAAGTCTGGAATAATTAGGATTTTTGAATGTTTTTGAAAGAAGTCTCCTATGCTCATCAATACTGCATTTATTTTTTAATCAAAAATACAGTGAAAAATTTGAAATATTATTATAATTTCAAACAGCTGTTTTCTATGTGAATATCTGTTAAATTGTAATTTATTTCTGTGATCAAAGCTGTATTTTCAGCATCATTACTCCAGTCTTCAGTGTCACATGATCTTCAGAAATCATTCTAATATGCTGATTTGCTGCCTAAAAATATAAAAAAAACGTAATTATTCCAAATTTCTGATTTAAATACTAAGTGAAAAAGTCACTGTTTAACCGTTACATTACATACTATTCACCATTTGTACCTATAAATATTCAAGCTTTAGAAGATTTATCTTTCCACGAGAGTTTATTACATTTGTTTGACAGGACTTTCGCATAATTTCATTTGCAGTAGGAAGCGAGTGCTAATCTAATGGGACTTTGGCTTCAGCAGCACGTTTCTATCTATTTGGAGGAAGCGGCCTTCTTGTTCGGATCACGCGAAATCGCATTGGAGAGCCATAATGTTCAATCGTGTTTGTGTGCGAGCGGCTCGAGACAGAACAGAATGCACTATTCGACATCTCCTGGTCAGTCTCCCTGTTATCAGAGCATCTCAGTTGGATTTCATGTCAGACAAACATTGATTAAAGGCCAATTTCTATAGTCCAGCATCCTAAATTAAGACAATAAGGCACGATATGGCTGAGACAAATTGCACCAACAACCACGACATGCAGGAATATCCATACAAAAACAAAAAGAACCAATGAAAACGCTAACATAAAACAAAAGCTGTCAAATAAAGGCTAGGCAAAAACTCAAAGTAAGACTGGTTTGTGTTTTTCTTTGGAGAAGATCAGTTAGTAGAGGTCCTTCAGGAGATGGTATGGTAGGAACTGGTTTTAATGATGGCGGGTAAGTTGAATCAAGGAGAAGGATCAAGCGCAACAAACATTCTTGGCCCACTTCAGGATCCTGAATATTTGTTGCAGTTGAGCCAATGAGATTTGGGCAGCAGTCAAAACACTCCCCGGACCTTTAACTCAAGCAGTTTATGCGCAAGTCTCTTGCCCCAAGAAAACAAGTACTGCAACAATGGACGAGTGACAGTGTCAACGAAAGAAACGAAAAAGACGGAAGTAAACAAACTGAAATGAACCAAATAACTGCAACTGGTAAAGCTTGTGTTCCTACTTACAAGATTTATAAGAAAGAAGAATTTGGAAAAATGTTGCTGCAAGATAACAGAGATAAAATGGAAACAAATCAAAGAACAGCAGTAGTAGAGTTCAGTAAACTATTCAGACGTTTTGTTCTGCTTTTGTGCTTTTAAAGACACAGGGAGACCATTAAAAAGAGTTTCAGTTACCCATCATGCAAAAATGAAAACCGAACAAAAACAATGCAAGTTCAGAAAAGATGTACGCAATGCTATTAACAAATCCACAGAATGATTTCAATAAATTCAATACATAAAAAATAAAACTAGATTAATGACACACATTCTCAACAGTGTGATAAAACATAAAAACTGTCCAGCTGCCATGAGTGGAAACTAACCCAACATAAACATATTAGAAAGCTGAATGTTAACACATCATAAATCTACTTTTACACTTTTCACATACGTGTACAAAACACCAATTTCAATTCATTGACTGGTATTTACCTTACCGATAATACCTTACATACCGATTAACTACCTAATTAAAGGAATAATTCAGGAAAAAATGAACATTTGCTCAGAATTTACTCACCCTCAGGCCATCCCAGATGTAGATGAGTTTGTTTCTTCATCAGATTTGTAGAAATGTAGCATTGCATCAGTGTCTCAGTGAATGCTCTGCAGTGAATGGGTGCCGTCAGAATGAGAGTCCAAACAGCTGATAAAAACATCACAATAATCCACAAGTAATCCACAGCACTCCAGTCCATCAGTTAAAATCTGGAGAAGCCAAAAGCTGAAACAAATCCAGCATTAAGATGTTTTTATCTAAAATACAAATCCATAATGCATAATAACGCTTTCTCCAGTGAAAAATCTCCTGTTGTCTCTCACATCAAAATCCAGCCACATATTTCTTTAGAGCCGTTTTGGCTTGTAAATGGTGCCAAAAAAATCTGTGCAGATTTCTCTCCTGATTTAGACCAGAACACTTTTTCACTGGAGGAAGCGTTATTATGGATTATGGACTCGTATTTTAGTTAAAAATGTCTTGATGGATTTGTTTCAGCTTTTGTCTTCTCCAGATGTTAACTGATGGACTGGAGTGCTGTGGATTACTTGTGGATTATTGTGATGTTTTTATCAGCTGTTCGGACTCTCATTCTGACGGCACCCATTCACTGCAGAGCATCCATTGCTGAGACACTGATGCAATGCTACATTTCTCCAAATCTGATGAAGAAACAAACTCATCTACATCTCGGATGGCCTGAGGGTGAGAACATTTTTTAGCAAATTTTCATTTTTTGGGTGAACTATTGCTTTAATACAAGTGTTTGCACCAGTTTCAAAATCCATTCATAAATTTATCAATGGATAAAGCATGTTTTTCAGCTTTTAAAATTGTGAATTTTGACTAAATATTGTATAAAATACTGTGTTCACTGAATTTAAGCAATTCTGCATACATCTCATTTACATTCATGCATTTAAATCCAAAGTGACTGGTATACATTTTAATTGGGAATTGAACCCATGACCTTGGCATTATTTGCATCATGCTCTACTGTTTGAGCTACAGGAATACAATTAGCTGTTATTAAACTGAATTATAAATGCAATTTAAGTTCTCTATGTGTGGCCAATCAGGTGTACAAATATTAAAATCCATAATATTAAACCTCACTATTTTTGCAAGATCTCAGAATAATTGTTTCACAGCATCTACGCTAGTGTCACACCATTGGAGACGAACCCTGAATGTGGTACAATCTTGCAGGTAGGAATATTCAATAAAAGAAAAGGAAATAAAAACACCCTCAACAGGTAAAATAAGTAGAGAAATGAAAAACAAATGAAAACGGGGTGACCGCAGTATTGGTTATAACACGTATCGCAGTCTTACCGGTCATGCTGCTGTCTCTGCTCAGGCCGGAGTGGAGTTTACAGTGGACCAGCGCAGCGTCAAACAACCACTGGCCAAACAGATTTAGCACACTGTTGACCTTCGGCCGGGTCGGAGCCGGTAGCGGCCGCGGCTCAGAGCTCGTCTGGTTTGGGCTGGAGAGCGGGGAAGTGGATGACGGCTGGTGCGACACTTTGGTCTGACCAGTCTGTGGAGTGGAGAGTAAATTAGAGAGGATTTGTTGGTTTTTCAGAAGTCGACACAAATTTGTGAGTGAATCAGGATAATAAATAAGAAAGAAATATGGAGGGTAGGGCTTCTGTTTTTCATGGTCATACCGTTGAGGCTTTGCTGGTTGTCTTGACAACAGCGGTGGGGCGGTGCCTGCGGCTGTGAGGGGGTGTAGTGTTGGTCGTCGTTGGGGGCAGGGGCATACTGAGCCGATTGACAGGTGTGGGCGGAGCACTGTCTGACCGGGGGCGGGAAATACCTGTGAGAGCAATCAAACAGGTGGAGAAGCAAGAAAACCAAAGAATTAAAACCAGCGTCTCATCAGAGATCATGTCTGGACACATATTCAGCCATAAAGCACCTGCCAACATGCCCAGCATTTATATAACTGCAGGACAATATCTCAGCAGATCCATTTCAGCCCTTAAATATGAGAAAATGCAAAATGAAATAGGCTTTTCGGATGATGCGACATCAACAATTTAGACAGCAGACAATCAAACGTCAGATGTTTCTTGGATTTTGCCATTTCAACATCGAACAATTCAGCTATGTGAAACACAATCACTAAACAAAAATGTAAATCTTGATACAGGCTGTAGAATAGATATTCTTAACCCTTTGTTGCATAAAAAGGGTTCTGGGGTTCCTCAGGGTTCTGTTATTGGCCCTGTATTGTTTTCCTTGTACATGCTGCCTCTGGGCTCGATTTTTAATAAATATGGCATGTCTTACCATTTGTATGCTGATGATACACAAATTTATCTCCCTTTGAAACCTGGAGAGAATTGTGGTTTAATTTTGGCATGTCTGGAAGAGGTGAAGATTATATAGTGAAGAATATAAGGGGTATAATAGAAGTTGAAGAATATAAGGTTCTGTTGCATGTGTTTAAGATAGTGCATGGAATGGCTCCTGCTTATGTGTCTGAACTTATTACTTTCTGTCAGTCATCTAGGTCATTAAGATCAACTAATAAGTTGTTTTTTACTATCCCACGAACTAATTTAAAGCTGAAAGGGGATGAGGCCTTTGCTGTTGCAGTCTGCCATCCGAGATTAGAGAGATTACATCCATAAACACCTTTAAAGCTGCGGTTAAAAATTACTTGTCATTAGCCTTCAAGGGGTTGGGCTAGTTTGTGTGTTTTTACTTGGACTGTTTGTTGTTTTATGTATTGTATGTAGCTGTATGTTGATTGTACAGCACTTTGGTCGGCAGGTGCAGTAGTAAAGTGCTCTATAAATAAAATAAATGAATGAATGAAACACTTTAGGGTGTAAAATGAACATGTATATCCATGATGCTTCACAGCGAGTACTGATTGGGTCAGTAGTGCAAGATTCACCATTTTTAAAGGGATTATTCACCCAAAAATGAAACTTCATCATCATTTACACTCCCTCAAGTTGTTCTAAACCTGTATGACTTTCATTCTGTGGAACACCAACAAAGCCGTCAGATGCCATTGGTTCTCACAAGCTAAGAAGATAAACCTGCCAACGGATAACAACTTAAATATAGTGCACAGATACATGAACCTATTTCTATATTGTTTTTTTGTCCTGATCACTGTCTGCTTTCATAGTATGCAAAAAAGCAGTGTAAACATTCTGCTAAACATCTCCTTTAGTGCTCCACTGAAGAATGAATGTCACATGGGTGTCGCCATGATGGTGAGTAAATGATTTGCATTATTGGGTGAATTATTCCTTTAATCCACACACAATAATCTTGAATTCAAACACAGATGTCCCTCGCATTATGAGCCTTCAGTTCACTAATTTCTTCTTGAAGATACAGTTTGAGGAAAAAAATTAGCTTGAATGGACACTGAAGTTATATAATTTGATTTGTCCTTTGTAAACGATACTTAATAAAAAGGCAGACAAGTTTAGAAACAAGGTTGCATCCTAATTCTTATCCTTTTATTCCAGAACTATAAAGTATTGTGATCAGTTCTTAATTAGGATTCGTTTTGAGAGAGTTTGTGACTGAGCTTTGCTTATAATGCAAGAGAAACCTGTTCACAGCATTTCAAAAGTTTCCAGAGATGCAATGAAATGCAACCAGACACACACTCCACTAGAGACAAAGACATCAGCATCAGAGATGCATTTCCATACAGCATCCCAGCTCAGCTGCTGATTGGCAGTAAATGCTGGAAACCCCTGCATTCAAATTTGGCTATTTGCCTAAAACCTCTGTGGACATACTGATTGGCCGGCAAAGGAAACCGATCTCCCTCTTGACATCCTGCGTTCCAGAAAGCTCCACCGACAGATTTAAACCGAAAGAGTTTATTGATTGTTGCTTGTAAGTGGAAAGCTGATATTTTAGAGCCATTTCATCATGTATACCTCCAACTCACAGACGGGATATTAAAGACCCCATATTAAAGAAACATGAAGTTGGAGCAGGACGTCATAGGCCTGGACGCCTTTTTTCAAATATCCAATAGCCTTTAGGTTATGTCAAAATCACACTGGACTGATAGGTGAATTAAATAAATGACATCAACTTTCTAGATAGCAGAGAATTTAATTGGACTATATATATATATATATATATATATATACTGTATACATATACATATATATATATACATATTGTAATATAAAACTTATTACAATATAAAAAATTAACATATATTTTTTAAAAATCTATATTTTTGGTTCTATTTTTATTTAAAATGAATTTTAAAATTAAAAATTAATTTAAATAAAATTATTTTAAATTTAAATTGAATTAAAAAAATGTTAAACATGCATATATATGTTTTGTGATATAATCTAGAATTTTAGATCATCTCAAAGCTACAGACAGCAACTAAATGCCACATTTTAATTTCACGAGGTCTTTAAATCAAAGTGCCATTTAAATGCCAGTTTGATTTTGTGTCTAAACAAAGGACAGCTGGAATAGAGGCAGACTGGGTACCAATCAATAAGTATGTTCACATTCATTCTGGGCAACGATTTACTCTTGTATGGGAGCAAAAACAAGGCAATTAACAAGATAATTAACAATGGATAATTGATTGATTTCCACAACACAGGGATCTTTGATCTAAAAGTGCTCGTGTATCTACAATCCTCATCAAACTCCCTCTTGATTAGTCAGAGGTGCGTTATCAAATACCATAAGATGGGAGTCTGTCTCGAAAATTGTTCCGAGATACAGCAACACCTGGGGAAAAAATGGGATTACACAGTAACCTCAAAAAGGAAGAATTACAACATACATTATGAACATAATTTTAGAAACTCCAGCTAGAAAATTATTTTTATTTCTGTCCCTAATCAGGATATTCGAGTTGCACCCAAACACCTCCAGAATCAGTGTGTTGGGTAGTTAAGCCCATTGTTAGTCACTAACTGATTGGGTTTGGACAGGTTTAGTGTACCTATAGAGGGAAGTCTGTCTCGAATATTGCTCCTAGACACTGTGACTCCTGAGAAAACATAAAACAAGACCTCTGAAGAAATGTTAGAAACTCATATGGACACAACACGTCAGGTTATTGTGAACAAACCATGAGCATGTGCAGTTACGATATAGAACTATCACAACTAACTATACTGAGATGTGACAGTCTGGTCACAAAGACAGTGGAAAATCAGACATAATTCATTCTCATGACAAATTTTGACTAAATATTCACTTAAAAACAAGAACTAATTGCTGCATTCAACAGCAGACAGAAGCATCTCAAATACTGTCTGTATGAAGTAATTAATTAAGTCAAGCTTATTTTCTATTCAGTTTAAACGCCTGAACATGCTTGAACTTATAATTAAACCAAAACTCCAATAAACCAGACTGTGCTCTGCTTTCGGAATAAAGTTACAGTCACAATCTACTTTACAGATTGACTTGATACCCCTTTTCCATCAAAATGGTGCTGGTGCTCAACATGAACCACTGAATCAAACATATTGCATTGCAATCATTGTTCAACAAGTCTTAATCCTAGTTTTGAAAACATATCTTAACATCCAAAGCAATTTAATGCAGCTCCTTTATGATCACAAACTGGCTTTGATGTAATAATTAGAGGTTCTTTAAATAAGTCTGGACTAATTAAGATTTTTTTTTTAGTTTTTGAAAAGTATTTTATGCCCAACAAAGTTGCATTTATTTGATCAAAAACAGTAAAATTGTGAAATATTATTACAATTTAAAATAACCATTTTTAAAGTAAAATATATTGTAAAATGTAATTTATTCCTGTGACGCAAAGCTGAATTTTCATCATTCTTCAGTGTCACATGATCCTTCAGAAATCATTCTAATATGCTGATTTGCTGCTCAAGAAACATTTTTTGATTATTATCAATGTTGTGCTGCTTCATATTTATGTGTATTATGTTAATTATTAAAAAATTTTACCTTATTATTTAAAAAAATAAAATTCATAGCAATAACATGTGATATTGTAAATAAAATCATTTCAGACGGACTGGGAAAGAAAATGGTATATGTTGAGTTGGTGTTAATTAAATGAACATTATGCACATGTGAAGCAGTTTCCAGCACCATGTCAGAGGAAAAAGGGCTAAGAGTGACAATGATAAGAGAACAGCATTGAATTGCTGAATGAGTACCAGAAGAGGGCAGAGTTTCAAGACACTCGAGTTTCTTACAAACAGCAACACCTAGAAATGGAAAAACAGTCAAAGCCGGTGTCGACTGAGATTCAAACCAAATGACCAGCACACCACAAACACTAAAACAACATCCGAGATTAGTAGCTTGGTTGGTTGTTTTGTTAATGTCATATCAGCTTCCTTGACTATTGTTGAAATGCCATTAGGGCTCCACGATTATGACAAAAATCATAATTGTCGATTATTCCCTTGAAATTGTAATTGCGATTATTAATTACGATTATCACAATTTACATTGAATGATGTTTATACCATTGTTTGATGCAACTGCATGCTGTATTTTTATATGAAAATAAACAAGCTGAAAACACTCTAACTGAAAAAAACGTTGTGAAAAAAAAGTGCTTTTCTACAGTATTAAGCCTCAAATGTCAACTATACATCGGATTGGTTTCTTCTTTAAATTATAAAAAAAAGTAAAAATATGAATGGTATTATAAATGTTATACTAAAACTAAAACAATGGAAAAACCCTTAAGATAACATGTAGAAAGAAAAAAACATATCTTAAGCGTGCAGAATAACATAAGTGGACTTTGAACGATTAATTGCCGCTTTGAACGATTACGTAATTGTGGCATCCGTAATTGTAATCGCGATTAATTGTGCAGCCCTAAATGCCATGAAAGAGCAATTTAAAAGGTTTTTAATGTTCGCTTTGGATTAAAAAAAAATGCAAAATCGATTCAGGGTTGACTCTGTTAAAAGTTTTTGCTGAGTAATAAAATTTACATCTGAGATTAAAATGTAGTGCAATAAAATAATGTGCATATGTAGAGGCTCTGTTGCACATACTGAACGATTACCATATTGATTTACCATGGTATTTATATGCTACTTTATGGAATATCATGTTAATAGCATAAAAAAACAAAAAGAGACCCTTGTAATGTGATCTTACCTAGGAAAGCGTCCACGAGGCAGCTGACGCCCCTCATCGCTCTGAAGAAGATCTGAGGCAGCTGTTTGAGGCAGGGGTGCTGAATGACCTCGTGAGGAACGCTGTTTCCCCCCAACAACTGCTCCTGAAACTTTGGGGTGGAACTCACTATGACGGGATTGCTCAGGTCCACGGGGTTACTGATAAACGAACAACTTATGTAAGTAACTACGATCAGAATGGACCCAGCGGACTGAGACAGTAAGCAGATGAAGTCCGTTCGACTGCAGACCTGAGCATGTGCAGAAATCGATACCACGTCTGAGCCACACAGTCGTTGTCCATCTCAGCGGGGATGAGGCTGGCGTCTTCCTCTGGCACTTTAAACGGAGGGAAGGACGGGCCGTACATGAACCGCAGCAGCCTGTGTGGACAACAAAACAAATACGATGAAGGTCAAGCAAACAACAGCATCAACATCAGTAAAAAGGCTGTCTACTTTACCGATTCCTGTAACTCAAACAGTAGAGCATGGAATGCATAGATTAATGTAATAAGTCTCTTCGGATAAAAGCTGTCAAATGCATAAGCATAAATGTAAATTCGATTGAATTAATGGCTATTTGTGACCCTGGAGCACAAAAGCAGTCTTAAGTCGCTGGGGTATATTTGTAGCAATAGCCAACAATACATTGTATGGGTCAAAATGATCGATTTTTCTTTTATGCCAAAAATCATTAGGATATTAAGTAAAGATCATGTTCCATGAAGATATTTAGCAAATTTCCTACCGTAAATATATCAAAACTTCAGTTTTGATTACTAATATGCATTGCTAAGAACTTAATTTGGACAACTTTGATTTGATTTTTTTGCACCCTCAGATTCCAGATTTTCAAATAGTTGTATCTCGGCCAAATATTGTCCGATCCTAACAAACCATACATCAGTGGAAAGCTTATTTATTCAGCTTTCGAATTATGTATAAATCTCAATTTCGAAAAACTGACATTTAAGACTGGTTTTGTGGTCCAGGGTCACATATAGCAACATCCTGAGGTCAAAAGGTCACTGGGGATTAAACTTACGATTTCATGACCTTTTTGGATCTTCTAAGTTTTGGTTACCTTGACTCTCAATGAAGAGAGCATATTGACCAAATATCATCTAATGATTTTTGTTCTAAACATGCCTGACAAGATTTCTTGGTATATGAACTATTGTTACACTAAATGACATTTCAGTAATTCATGGTAAAAATGTATGATAGTCATTATTTTTCAGAAAACAATAAAATTTAACAGGACACTTACTGATGCATGAAAAAAAATATTAAAGCTGTATTAAACATTTATTTGCATTGATGCTTGAAAACCCCTTTTCATCTTTGACCCATAACAGCTGCTGCTCAATACTGTGCAGTAATGATATTCTGTATTGTCCCTGTTAAATAAACTATAAAACAAGGAAATAAACAAAGCTGCAGCGATGATGCAGGGCTACAGTACCTGGAAGTGAGAGCAGCGATGACTTTACTCCACTGCTCCACCACCGGAGGGTGATGTCTCCAGTTGGCCAGCATCTCCCGGGCCGTCTTCCAGTAGGGCGGCGTGGGGAAGCAGCGCGTGCAGGCCAGGAACCAAACCTCAAACAGCACGCTGATCAACTTCTCGGCCAGCTTCTCTGCTATTCCACCTACAGGAGACACGACCGGTGATATCCGTCAGACAGTCTGGTGTTCATATGTTTCTATACAAAAACCGTAGGCACATACAGCACTTGGAAACGCACTTGAGGGAGAGAAATGTGCAGCTTGTTTTTGCTGAATTACTTTCTTAAAAATGTATTGTAGAGCTGATTGGTTATTATTTTAGCACATGAAAACAATGTAAAGGTTGAAAATAGTCATGAAAAACAAACTACGACAGCTTGTAAGAAACCTTTGAAAATCTAACATTTCAATAATAACAATAATAACTTAAAATTAGTGCTGGGCGGTATGACCAAAAATTTATATCACGGTATTTTTCAAAATTATACCGGTTTCACGGTACATGACGGTATTTTTTTTTTCATGCATGACCGGGTGTTAACCATATTTTCTTTGTCAGTATGAATATTCTATGGGAAAAAGCCGCTTAAAGGGTCTGAAACTTGCTAAATCTAGTGCTAAAGTCATGCTCGTGTGTGTGAGACGCGGGAGCTGATGGCAGGGAGCGCTGGATATTTGTGGCGGTCAATGTGGATATTGTGGCTTAAAATGCTACAAAAGTGCAGAATATGATCTCTTTAAAACACTCTCATCGAGATCTGATCATGTGCGGTTGATTAAAAAAACAGAATGTTTGGTTACGGAAAAGCAAAGCAAATTTTAGACATTTCTGCACTCGTTATCTTAAAACAGGAAAAAAGGCATATGTGACCCTGGACCACAAAACCAGTCATAAGGGTCAATATTTTGAAATTGAGATATATACACCATCTCAAAGCTGAATAAATAAGCTTTCCACTGATGTATGGTTTGTTAGGATCGGACAATATTTGGCTGAGATACAACTATTTGAAAATCTGGAATTGCAAAAAAATCTAAATATTGAGAAAATCATCTTTAAAGTTGTTCAAATGAAGTTCTTAGCAATGCATATTACTAATCAAAAATTAAGTTTTGATATATTTACGGTAGGAAATTTACAAAATATCTTTATGGAACATGATCTTTACTTAATGTCCTAATGATTTTTGGCATAAAAGAAAAATCTATAATTTTGACCCATACAATGTATTGTTGGCTATTGCTACAAATATACCCCAGCGACTTAACACTGCTTTTGTGCTCCAGGGTCACATATGTGCATACGGCACACAAAATGCAGTTTGTTTAGATGCAAAACGTGCACCTTCTCTCATTTGTTTCTCAGTCAATGTAAGATCTAGTTAAAGACAGAACTTCATTGTGTTTGTCCATGGCTGACATACGCACCTCCCACAGTGGGCGGGGCCAGTAGCGTGTCATTGATGCGCAGCAGGAAGAGCAGCAGCACTTCCCAGGTCTCTCTGGCCATGCCGGACGAGTCACGTGCCAACTTCTGCACGGCAGACAGCACTTGCTGACACAATTTAAAGTGCACCAGGCTGAAGTGCTCTGGTCTGAAAGAAAGAACCATTCATATTGAAAATCATAAAGCACAAACAGGAAGTGCTACACTAATTAGACAGAAAACACACCTAGCATCACATCCAAAAATAATATTGTTAGTTAATATTGTTCTAGGAGAGTCATTTTATCAGAACAAAACAAATAATAATTTTCTCTTTCAAAAATCACCAATACAACAAAGCTTAAACGTTTAATCATTTTAATGAGATTTCTAATACATACTGTATGTATTAGTAATATACTGATAATATACTAATAGTGTGTACACACACACACACACACACACATATACACACACACACACACACACATATATACATACATATATATATATATATATATATTTATTTATTATTACTTAAATTACATTTTATATATATATATATATATATATGTTTACACATACAAATGACTGTTGCATACTGTGCAATAAAAATGACTGTAGGTAGTGTACAGTATAAAGTGTGCAGTATGCAGTGTTCATCAATGCAGTCATGGAAGAGTTTACGTGCACTGTGCATCATGGGTATTTGAACCCACATGCCAAACACACCTGGGCAGGAAAAGGTTGTGCAAGTGTTTGAGGATGGTTTGGACGTAGAGGTTAGGCTCTTTAATGATGGGCTGGGGTATAGAGTCTCTCGGAGACACCAGGGCCATTATCCAGTCAGTGTAGACGTCCACACACAACTTAACCGTGTCTCCATCCAGCGGGAGCGTCAGGCCGTAACACAGCACCTCCATGGTCCATTTCACCTGAGGAGGACAAGCACAGCATTAGATGGACTAATGACTACCTAAACCGGTTTGAGATGGATCACCAATCCTTGAGCTTGAGAGGGAAAAGTCTGATGACTCTCTCATGCACATTTGTGAGTGAAACACACTGGTTCTGTCAGCAGGAAACAGAAAAGCCCTGCATTTAATGGATCCGCGTTTTTGCACAGTTATTTTCCAAACAGCATCGGTCACCACGGGCAGCAATAAGCTGGATCAGAGGTCAGGAAAAAAAAAATCAGAGGCCGAACGGGAATGGACAGGATTTCCTCTGCTCTTATCACAGTACACAGAAGCCCACAGGAACCACACTCACAATGCAATGGAAGGCAGTGCCACACACACACACACACACACTCTCTCTCGCTCACACACACACACACAAACACACTCCCGCGAACCCCACCAAAAACACACTGTATTTAGCAAGGATGCTTAAAATTGATCAAAAGTGATGATAAAGGCATTTATAATGTTACAAAAGATTTCTATTTCAGATAAATAGTGGTCATATCGATATCCGAATTATATCGTATCGACCGAAATTAAGAAATATATCGTGATATCAATTTTGGCCATATCGTCCAGCCCTATGTCAAATATAAGTCAAACTGCACATGAACTGCTGTGAGAAAACAAAAATTTTCCACCCAAACACCTTGACGTTGCTCTTGAGCTCAGCAGAAGTTAACAGTTAACCGGATGCACAACCTTGCAATGCCACAACCTTGAATTCCTGCCGCAGCCTCGGGTTTGAATCGAAGACTCTTCACAGATGTGAGATGTTATGAAACACACACACACACACACACACACACACACACACTTCTTACCTCCTTGTCAGTCTTGAGGAGGCACTCAGACGGCGCTCCTCCGAGGCTGTTTCCCAGGGGCCGCACCACAGCGTTTGCCACGTCTCGACCCACGCCGGCTGGGTAAGTGTGTAAGACGCTCAGGTGACCCTGATCGTTCTGGACCACCAGGTGTAAAGAGCGCCACTCGGAGTACATGACCGCGACTTCTGCTGGATCTGACAGCGGCCTGAGGAGGGACACAAACCAGACGTGCGGTTTAGAGAGGGATATTCAGACATGAGGAATCATTTAAAATAATCTATAAATGGTCTTCAGTAGTGCTTTATTTTTTAATTTTATTTTAGGATGAATAGTACACACACACTCTCTCACACACACACACACGCACACACGCACACGCACACTCTCTCACGCATTCTCTCACACACACACGCGCACACACACGCACACTCTCTCACACACACACAAACACGCACACACACTCTCTCACACACACACACAAACACACGCACACGCACACACACTCTCTCTCACACACACAAACACACGCACACTCTCACGCATTCTCTCACACACACACGCGCACACACACGCATATACTGTACAAACTGTATTTTCTATCGCCCTACACCAACCCTACTAAACCTATCCCTTACAGGAAACTTTCTGCATTTTTACAATCTCAAAAAAAATAAAGAATTCTGTATGATTTTATAAGCTTCTGGGCCCATGGGGACCTCAATTTAGGTCCCCACTGTGACACAAGTCCCCATGAGTCTGTGTGTATTCAGGTTTAAGTCCCCACCAGAAT